CCTCTTCTTCATTTCTATCCCATAAACACTGGTGTTCCTCATGGTTCCTTACACCGTCCACTAGTTAATCTCTCTCCCTCATGCTCTCCTGCTGCTCCTGCTGCTGCTGCTCCCACCGCCACCACCACCACTGCTGTTAACTTCTAAAGCCACATCCCTAATCCTGACCTCTCGTGTGAACACCTGATAATTTCCACATGTAATACCTCTGCCTGGGAGCTCCAAACACACTTCGGGTTGATTATATCTCAAACTGAATTCAGTTCCTGTCTTTTAATGTTTTATTTTTCCTTCTGCCGCCCCTAACTCACTTAACGTCACCAAGCCATGTTAAACAATTTCAGGTTTCTAATGTTTTGAAACCTCTTCCACTGATGGTGATTCACTTTATTTTTGTAATGATTCACTTTGAAATGAGCCATTGTTGATTAATTTAACACTAGACTCTCTTTGTCTGACATTTTCTTGTCTTTTGGATAGAAAGACGTATTTCAAAAATAAGAATTTCTGGAATTTGAGGGTAACTTTTTAAAAAGTTTTAATCTATAGGATAGGGCCCAGAACTCTTCCCTGCCTTTCCAACCACACACACACACACACACACACACAGTCCTTTATTAAATGACTACTTTTTAATTCTCTTTTTCTGGTTCCTTTGTCTTTCCTGTCTACTATTTATATCTTATCATTCCCCAAGATTTGGTTTGAAATCTCTACTTTTCTCACTCTACTTCCTTATCTGGGTAATCTCACTGTTTTTCAGGGTTTCAATTACTCCTGAAATGATGATTTCTCCAAATCTGTCCCTAGATGTCAGAGAACATCTTTCTTGAGCTTCAAAACAAAATTTACAACTGCCACATGAATATCTCTATCTGGATGTTATCTAAAGATTCACAGCCTTTAGAAATCTAAAACTTCCTCTCTAAATCATTATTTCATGTATACATAAAACCCTGAAAAGCTGAGTTCAGTTCATTCATAAAAGAGATGACATTTCTGATATCACTATGTGAACCCTCTCACCAACAGCCATTTAGTCTCTAGGCTACTTTCCCCTAATATTTAGCCAGTGCGGCAAAGTGATACTGATCTTCGGTTTTCCTTTATTCGCAGTCTGGCTCACCTTGTAGCAGTCATTGGCAATGAGCTGTAAGAGGCTAAAGGATTCGCCAGAGGTTTCCATCTTGAGGTAAAGTTCCCAGGCTAGTCTTGGTTTCTTATTCATAATATCTACAAAAAGAAACAAATGTTTTTGCTTTTTAAATGTACAAAAATGCATTTCTGCACCTTGCTATTCTACAGATTTGCTTCTATGTTTCAAATATACAAAGTGATGGTAAATAGTTCCTACATGGAAAGCTTGCAATTTTGGCATTAAGCTGGTTCTGAGCTCTACCATACTTAAATTTTTCCTTTAAGTTAGAATTCAGTTGCTTATGTCTTCTTAGGTTGGACTGATTTCCAGTAGTTCCCACTCAGTTCATCTGCTTAAAAGAGGACACCTATCATTTATTCAATCTTACTCATATAGTTTCAGCTTCACTTAGAATATCTGATTGTTAAAATTTTCCCATAACTTCAAAAACTCAGTGAATACTTTAAATCAAGTGAACAAAAGGAACAAGAAAGGATAGTGAAGAGAGAAAGACAGAGGTTATAGGCTAAACAATACACCAAAAAATGATGTTTTTGACATTTTGCCACTTTTAAGGCCTGCATCATAGTGAAAAGGTAGAATGAGCATAACAGGATGATTTCACACACACACACACACACACACACACACACACACACACACACACACACACAGTGTAAACTGGGATTCTGGAAACTTTAACAGGGATAAAGGAAGAACTTGGAGTCTTTTAGAACTGCATATGCTTGGTCAATGTTGTATGGTAGAACTAATCACAGGGCAAACTAACATGATATATGTACATGGTCACCCTCGCTGATTAGCATTAATAACACAATTTTGATGTTTACTCATTTTACAGAACAAAATATAAAACAAAATTAGAAAATGCTCAATATAATTTCTAACCAGAAGATTATGCAATAGAGAAGAAAAAGAAGATTCCTCTGTGACATTTAAAAGAAGACTCACAGCATCGAGCTAACCAACTGAGGTAAATGTAATCATTTTTCATCTTCTCATTTTGGATTAAAAGAAAAACCTGTGAGAAGAGGAAAGAAAGAATAAACATGAAGATGCTTTTGCAGTGAAAACATTCATATCAGCTTACCTAACATTCATAATTAACATAGTCTTATGGATGACCAAATTCTATACAGGCTGCTAAGAAAAAGTGAAGCACAAAATTGTGGTGATTTTAACACATTTCTCTCAGTTACTGATATCACAAGCTGACAAAAGGGTGGTAAGGATAGAGAAGATTTGAACAGAATAATTAACAACTGCATAATACATATTATTTTCAAGAACACATGACCAAGCTACTGGGCAATAAAGCAAGTCTCAACAAATTTTAAAGGACTGGTGTTATACCGACCACGTTCTATGACAATACAATTAAATTAGAAATCAAAATAAAATAATCTGGAAAGGATAATCCATGTTTAAAAATCATGAGACACATTTACAGAAATTAGAAAATATTTGCAATTTAAATAATATTGAGTTGAATAATTTGTTTAATAACAAAATTCAATCGAATAATTCAACTGAATCATTTTGAATAATTTAGACAAATCGATCTATGAAGTTAGATGTCAAGATAGTGGTTAGCCTTGGGAGAAAGGGAGTGACACAAAAAGATGAGGCGGTTCCTAGGGTTATGATCAAATTCTATTTCATGATTTGGGTACTGTTTATTTGGATATGTTCACCTTAAAAATCCATCAAGTTGTATACTTTGATATGTGTACTTTTCTTGATGTATGCATTTATAAAATTTATAAAAAAGGAAAATATTAATGTGGTTATGATATCTATATGTCTAGTCACATTGCATTTTTTAATGTAACCTAATAACAAAGGAACTTTTAGTAATCTTTTACTCTTGAATATTTTATTTAAGTGAGAAAAAGATAACAATATTTTTAGATAGAATCATTCAAATGCCTTCCAAAGCAGGTACCCACCTCTTCACCCTCACTGGTATTGCCTGTTGCAGCTTTGGCTTGGGCATAATTAAAGTTAAAGATGTCATCGTTATAGAAGTAACTCTGAAAAACATCCCAAGAACAGGTCACATTGAGCATGAACATACAAAATATAAAAACATCAGATATACCAGAGAAACACAAAAATAATCTTACCGAATTAACTGATGCCACTAATGCCACAATAGTAAAGGGGCCATCTTATCTCTGACACATTATATACAGTATTTTGTATACAAAGTCCTCTAGAAAAGTCTATACTGACCTTAAATGAATTGAGGTAAATCAAGACATCATCAAATTGCTTAAGCAGGAAGAAACAGGAAGCCATGCATTGCCTCCCTGGTATTGTATCTGGAACGGAATGGGAAAAGAAACCATGGGCATTCATGTGTACTCATGAAATTAAAAGTTCCCTTTAGCTGTGATTTATTTTATAACTTAGATAGGAATGTATTCCAAGACATCTTTCTAGATTCTGAAATTACAGATGCTTCAGTGGACAAACTCTGAATAGAGTTTTCTCTATTCAGTTAACTCTCAGAGTCCAAAATAAACACATGGCCTGCAGGCTCTCCTCCAGATCTTTTTCCAGGGCTTTGATTCTCTCACTCAACTCCAATACCTGCACATGCAACTAATGTGGCTTGGTCTCCATCATTACTCACCTAAGACAACCTGGCATTTTTAATCTCAAAGGGAGAAATAATTTGCCATGGAACCATCTGATCCTGATCCTTACTCAACTTTTTGTCTGATATCACAGTCCTATTTGGTGTAGCAGATGATTAGTATAACTTCCTCTTGCCACTCTCAACCCCCCTTATTCTGTTCAATTCATTCCCCGTAGCACTCATCACAGACACACTACATAATCTATTTATTATGCTTTTAGCCCGTCCCACTATGCTGTACATTCCACAAGCGTAGCAGGATTTGTATGTTATGTTTACTGCTGCATCCCCAACACCTCGATAAATTATTGTTGTCTGAATGAATGAAATAGGGAAAGGAAATACTATTCAATAAATGGTTTTAGTGAAACATTTGAAAGAAAATGAATGTCTAAGAGTGATAAAAATAATAACCAGTTCAGCATGAACACTGTTCAGTGGAATAGATGCCAGCCATAGACAACCAGTACAGAGAGCCATATCCTTAACTGGCTAACTATCAGCCCTTTTTATAGTCCTTACTCAAATTTTACAGTGAATCTTAACTGATGAAATCAATACTTTAATAATAGAAATGAAGCCATAAAACTACTTTTGGAGAATATAGGTGAATATTATGTAACTGCTAGGGTAGGAAAGCATTGTCTAAGCTTGACATCTACATAAGAAATCATTACAGAAAAGATATACTTAATTCAATGAGATTTAAATATTTTTATATAGGAAAAAATATGATAGGTAAAGTTAAAAGTCAAATCATCCATTGGAAAAAATATCTACAACATAACAAATGTTTACTACATAAAGGGCTCTTGAAAAATCAATAAAAGTTAACGTTTCAAATCAAAAACAGAATCAAAAATTTAAAACTCTCATGAACTAAAGAATACATTTATTCTCCTCTATTTCTAGATTCCCTCATCCCGTTTTAGCTGAGATGGTGAGAAGAGCTAATTCCAATTTTCTCCCCTGTGTCTGACTCCCCCACTTCATACTGGAAAGTCTAACATGTATCCCTGGGCAGAGAATCAGACTCCATCAGTCAGCACACAACACAGCCAGCTCCCATCATGACTTGTGGCCACAAGCATGGATCTCAGACACACACCGCATTCACTAGCTGATCCTCCCACCAGCTGGAAGAACTGCTGGGCAATTTTCATATGATCCCTCTGAAAAACAAAGCAGAGCAGATACAGAAGAATAAGCTGAAGATATTTCATTTGTATTATACTTTATGGTTTTAATGTATTTGTCAGGATTTAACATATACCCTTGTTTTTGGTCCTCCCCAAAACAATACTAATTCTAATTAGCATAAGCAACAAAACCCGATAACCTGAAAATAAATTAAAACCTACACTGGATCAGATAGAAAAGAAGAAAAAAAAAAATCTACCCCCAAATTCTATCCTAAAGTACTTTCATTAAATGAATTCATTCATTTATTCAACAAATATCTATTGCTCTTTTACCATATATCAGACCTTGTGGTAGGAGCTATGGTTAAAACAAGGAGTATTTATTAAATTAACTCATTCATTTATTCAATAACTATTTACTACCTATCTGCTATATGAGGCACTGTGAAGTGAGCTGGAGATAAGATTTACTTATATTCTGCTTTGTTCTGAAAAGAACTTAATATTCTTATTTAGAATATGAGAATTCTAAAAAGTAAAAGAATTCTTATTCTTTTTAGACTATTAGATGAATAATATTTAGATGAGTCAGAGCTTAATTTTAGACAGTGTTTTGGAGTTTATGAAAAGCTTTCCCAGAGACACAACTATCTCCATTTCACAGAGGCCAAAATTAGAGTTCGGAGGTGTGCGATGTTAAAAAAAGAAATCGCTGAAAATAAGAATGGAGCTGTGCACTGATTTGTTGTTGTTGCTGTTGTCATTAGATAGAAACACTGTTTAAAAACTGGGCTCTTTTTCAATAAAGCAGCAATTTTTAGCGCAAAAGTTTTTTTTTTTTTTTTTCTTTAACATGGAATGTTTTACAATGGAAACTGGATTAGGGGATGTGGAAAATGAGGAGCTACAGAAGAGCCTATTTATAAGCTGATTGCTAGTTGAACTCTGACATTCATTTTGACCCTTTCCATACACTATGGCTTTGCAAACTGTAGACGACAAGCGATTTCACACTCACCGAACCCATTTCCTGGCCGAGGGCTGCATTGACCACTCCTTTGAGGATATACTCCTAGAAACATGAAATGACTCTGATTTAAAAGGAATGTGGAGCTATGAGATATCTTTCAAATCAATTAGTTTCATCAACGCGATACTTTATATTATCAAAAGTTACCCGGGGCCTCCTTTTTCTGTTCCTTCCCTGGCTTGAATGAGAACTCACTGTTTGTAAATCCTCAGTCTTAAGCAGAAATAACTCAGTGGAAACTTCCAAGAGTTAAGTTTTGTATTATTTCAATTTGATGGAAAAAAAAATTAACAGTAAAATGTTTACGTAATAATTTTATAATCTTATTAGCCACTTCCATTTTCTGTGACCACATCATATATATTATTTTCCCTTTCCATTGATATAATGACCTTTCTTGGCTAGTGATCCTTTCTTCAAAAAAAAAAAAAAAATGTCTTCTGGTTTCCGTTTGTAAGGTATTCTCTTTGGCGTCCTAGGGCCTCACCTATATCCCTTTCAGACTTGGTTCTATTCTTCAACAGATACGCTTCTTAGCGGCTTTATCAATTTTTATGTGGATATTATTTTTATTTAAGAAGTCTCATTAAAAGAATAGTACAAAAGATGCTGAAACTCTTAATACACTCAAGAAATATACCTGGATAGACTTCATGGAGTCTGGAAACATTTTTCAACAGTCTTTCATTCAGTAAGTAAAGTGATTTCTGAGCGCCTAGTGTACAGAGCATTGGAGACACAATACAGACACAGTCCCTGAGTGCAATAAGCTACAATCTAGTGGGGGAGAAAGACGTTACAGACAGCTATGCTAGTGATAAGCAGCTATACCTCATCACTGCTTTCATCAGAATTCTAGGTTTCAGTATCTTCAAACTTCTACCCTTCTGAGGAAATGACCACATATAGGGAGTTTAAAAATATAAAAAAAACCCAAACATTCATTCTTACATCAAAAGTCTCACATAACATTCCTAGATCAATATACATATATATGAACTTTCTCGGGATTCGACAAGCAGGAAACTTCTCTAATATGTCTTCCAACTACTACTGTTCCAAAGTTCCGTTTTCAGTAGAACTCAGTAAAAATATAAGACATTCTCGATTACCTGAGGAGTAGTAGGTTCGAGATCCTTAATTAAATTATAAGCTTCTTGTACATCATCTGAAATATAAGAAACAAGTAGCCAGTTGTTTCTGAAACTCTTCTGAAACAGTCCCCCAAAGGTATGATCCTTCTGTACCCAAACATTCACGGGAAGTAGGATCTATTTTAGCTGTTCCAATACTCTATCAAGTTCGATGTTGAGTAGTTATCCTAAAGATAACCAAATATCCTTAGGGAATCCATATTAAGCCATAAAGCAGCTAAAGAAATGTTCAAGCTAAGAATTTGGATGAGGTGTTATATACCAATGGCATTATAGTTATCTAAGAAAAACAACCATTTTTAAAAAAGAGATATATTAAGTGTGTAGGAGTGAAATGACATGAAGACTGGGATTTGTTTTAAAACATTTTAGCAACAAAAAAGGAAGAGGGAGGATAGACGAAAAGTTTGTCAATATCTTGAAAACTGTTGAATCTGGGATTAATATTTCGGTGTTCATTTTGGGTGTTCATACTAGTTATTTTTATGTTTGAAAAGTTTTATAATAAAAATTAATATATAAAATATACAAGATGTTTCTTTAATACTTGTCCAAAAGGCAAGAATTCTTTGTGCTTACATAAAGAGAACTCTTTGGAAGTTCATGTTCTTACTCTAATAAACACATATTTTCCTCGATGAGGAATATGTTGTCTGGTTGATTTCGGCCAGGCCCCTAAAAAGGTCCACACTGTTGTTAGTCCAAAGTCCATTCCAGAGTGTCACCCCTTGCCACTAAATGAGTGGTTGTGACTTCCCTGTACTTAGAGCTGTTATATATTAGACTGCTTTAGGCATCTGTCTAATAATAATTTTAACTTTACTTAGAGGCAAAAAATATCACATTCTCTTTGAATCATAATATTTCTGATAAGAAACCATGGGTACAAAGCAATAGAAAGGCTGACAGAGCAAAACAAAACAAAACAAAACAGTTAATGATAAAAAAGACGTAAGAAAATGTAGATGTATATTATACATGGGGGAACACTAGGGAAAAAAAGAACTGCAAAAGAGGGGAAGGGAAAACAATGGGAAAACTGAAATACAATGGGTAGAGAACAAAGGAGAGAAAAATAAGAGGGAAATGGAAAAAGAATGGGGTAGAAGGTTGCAAGCAACAGAGGAGGAGAGAGAGGCTAAAGAGTAAAGGCACAACAAATAAGCACCAATAAATTCATTCTGTCCTACGAGCCGGCTGTGAATTCATTTTTGGAAATATTATGGATTTTACAAGTTAACAGAATAGTTCAATTAGAGATTAAATGTTCTAAAATATATCATTATAAACAAGAACAAGACAACGTTTTCGTACCTTGACGAAGGTAGTAAATCACTAAGTTTAGCCGAGCTTCTGGAATGACATCGACCAGGGGAGGCAAAACCTGCAAAGCCCCTTCACCTCCTCGGAAAACAACCTAGAGACAGAGAGACTGTGTTTCTGTGGCAATAAGTACAAGTATGTTTATCGGTGGAAATGTTTAGGAGCTCCCACTTATAACTGAGTACATGATGTCCAACTGAAGTAGCTCTGGGAATCAGTGAACATGTTGGGAACTTTCACACTCACTGAATGTATTACTGCCTAACTATTGCCTGTGCCTCTTACCAGTTCTCTTCCCTCTTCTCTGATTCTAATCTTTCTATTTAATAGCCTATCGTATTGAAATAGGTCATTTTTTTATACTATTTAAAACCTACCTACTGCCACTATCAACCTCTATACCCTAATCCGTCTTTATTTTAATTCACAGCACTCATGACTTCATTTTACGTATCTTTTGTCTGTTTATCTGTTACACCCACCAGCATATATACTCCATACAACAAGGAACTTTGCATTCACTATGTACTCCTGGGTCCTAGAACTATAACTAGTAAAGCTGGCACTCATTTATTCTTTGAAAGAATGAATATATTTTGAAGTTCTCTATATTATACACATGACGTTGACTTCATTGAAAAAAAGCCATTGTCTAAATTATAGTAAGTATAAGAAGCAGAATAAATGTATTGCATACTTTTCAAAAAAACTGCAGAAATCTCTTAAAGTACCAAATAATTTCTTTGCATTTTTTATTTTACATTATACATAGTACAGTGGTTACATATTTATATAATTTATGAGGTGATCCCCCTGATTACTCTAGCACCCATCAGGCACTACACACAGCCATTACTACAATATTGACTATATTCCCTATGCTGTACTCTACATCCCCGTGACTGTTTTTTAACTACTAATTTGAAAAGTACCGTATAATTAAACGATTTTCCTAGACAGATATTCTACATCAAAAACCCCATGAAAGAATTTATATAACCTTTCTGAGCCTGTTTTCCTCATCTCTAAATGGCGTTAGTAATGTCTACCTTTCAGGCTTATTATGAAAATTAAATGAGTTAAAGTGGGATGTGTGGCACGTCATAGATAATATTTCATTTAATTCAGCAAATATTCATTAGCACCTACTATATGCCTGGTATTATAATAAGCAGCAGGGTTATGGTGGGAACAAGCCACTCCTCCTGTCACTATATAGGCTATATTCAAGTAGGAAGAGACTTTCAAAAAGCAAACACATAAGTATGTTTTCATATACTAATAAACGCTGTAGAGAACAGCCAAATCAAAAACACCATCCATGAGAGGACAGTTTGTGTACTGTGGTGCTCCCAGAGCCTAGGTTGTTTCACAAGTAAATATGCAGAAATCAAGACCATCAGACATGAACTCCCTAATCCCTTCTTTCTACCTCAAAATACCTATTTGGTCATCTCTTTTGGTTCCTTCTTGTCTGAGATGTTCCCTTCTTTAGCCAAGATTAATTCTTTCACCTGTCTTCTTGAATTCATGACTTCTAACTCCATATGAACTTTGTTTCTCTATTAATTATTCTATTTTCATTAGCCCTGGTTCTGCTTCTCAACTTTAAATATACACAAAGGTTTTTGCTCTCTTGGAAAGTCTTCCATGTGGTGCCATTGTTCTCTCTGAATGGTGCCCTATCTTTCTCCTTTCTCCTATGACCTACTTCTAAAGTATGTGGCTTCCTGTTTCAACTATCTTCTCATCCTCTCACTCCTTAACGTCCCAGAAAACTGGCTCCTGCTCTCGGCACACTAGTACCTACCCTCACAAGTCACAAATTAACCCCTTTAACAATATTCAGTGGACTTTTGTATTTAGTAAGTAAATGCTTACTCTATGCCAGATACTTTGGGAAGCACCTTCCACAGATTACCTCTGTAGGGGCCAGGGAAATTTCCCTTACCCCTTCTGTTCTTTTGGCAGGTCAAATATTCAAATGACATACAGCAGATTAACAGGAGAAAATCGAATTTTAATATGTATGCACAGGAATTCACATAAGCATGAAAATTCTAAAGAGATGAGGCAAAATAAGGTATATGTGTTATTTTGGGCTAAGAAGGGAGAAGGGTACACAATTCACAGGTAGTTGAGAAAGAGGGAAGATTTGGTAAACGATTTCTTGCAGGGCCACCCAGAAAAAATGGGACACAAAAGGGAACCTAACAAACAGATTTTAGCTTGGATCCTTCCTGTCTGCCACACTTAATTCATACGTGCTAAGGAGAATATGCAGGTTCCCTTCCTGAAGCAGGTCTTTCTATCTGAATCTCTTCAGGAAGGTAAGGGGGAGATAAAAGGCTCTTCCTGAGTTTGTTAGGCTTTTGTGTTCAGCTCCAAACAATCTGCATGCCAGGGTGGCACATTCTAGGGGGATTCACAGGGCCTCCCACACCTCATTTAACCCTCACAAGAACATAAGGTAGGTACTGTGATTTCCCCTATTCCACATGTGAGAACATTGAGACTCAGCCATATTAAGTGGCTTATCCAAAGCTACAAACCTAGTACATAACTTGATTGTGATCTCAAGTCTGTTTACAAAAGTTGATGATCATAATAACCATTTATATTGCTCAATATTTTTCAGGTTTTGTTTTAAACTTTAATATGCGTTCATTGGAGAAGAAACTTGCATACAATATTACAAAAGCAAAAAGGAAAATTTCCATATTCTCACTTTTCTCTTTAATGCCACACCCCAAGAATAATCCCCATTTAGTAGCTGATACTCTCCTTCCAATCATATATTCATGTGGTGGTTCTTTACTCTGGTTGTACGTTACAACCGACTGGGAAGCTTTTAAGAAACACACTGATAGCTGGGCCCCAGCCCAAGCATTAAATAAAAATCTCTGGGGAGGGGGTGATGGAGCCCATGCACCATTATTTTTAAAAACCTCCCAGGTGATTAAAATGTAGAGTTGTAAATGGCATTACATTATCTAGATGTTCTTTCTTGCCTGCCTTTTCTTATTTGCTTATTCTCCTTCCTCCAGCCCCTTAAATACAGATGCTCTCTTGGAAACATATTTTTCCCTGTGTTTGATCCTTTCCTCCATATATAGTTGTCAAGATTTTGGCAATCACTTCTCTTATGAAAACTCCTAAACCTGTACTCCAGTCTTGATCATTCACCAAGCTTAATATCCAAACTACTAACTCTAATCCATCATTTTCCACAAAAGTGCATCTGGCTTTAATTAATAAACTACATTAGAAGTGAAAAGATTAGAGGCAGAAGCTTATAATAGAAACTATCCAAAGAAAAGTCTATCTGTGAAGCAGGCCTGAAGTGGAGAAGGAATAGAATAAATATAAGACGTGGCCAAGAAAGGATTAATAGGTTAAGGGACTGAGCAGATATCAGAAATAAAGAGGGGAGAGAGAGTCTAAAACAATGATGGTTTTCAGCAAGCATATTGGGAGAATTGGTGCCAAAGAAAGAAATAGAGAAATCAGAAGGAAAAGGCGTAGTTACTATTATCGCCATGTTTAGATGAGGAATCTGAAACTCATCGATATTAAATAATTTGCCCAATGTCCCCAGATGTCTGAGTTGAAAGCTGCTCTGCATCCACCATATTGTACGATCAGTAGAATCAAACTTAATCGGAGCCTGGAGTTTTTAGTAGTGGCCCTCATGACTCAGCCTTAAACCTAACCACCCCTTACTTTTTCACTGAGTACAGCTTTCCTTTCACTATCCCCCAGTTCAGACTTTCTGCCTAGTGAGCTCAATCTGCTCACAACCTTTCACATGTGTCATCCTAGTTCTATCATGTATGTCATCCTAGTTCTAAATCTCAGGCAAAGATGGGCTCAACTCTTACTTTCACCCGAAAATCCTTCCCATTTATTCTAACCCGGGAAGATATATTCTTCTTTGCCAACAAACTGAACACTTGGATCTACACGGCTTACACTTCTTTCTAAATGTTACATATGTAAAGAGGAGCAGAGTTTGCCACCCCAAACGTGACTTTTTTGGGATAGTGATTATTTTAAGTTGGTTATTTTTAAGAAACAAATGACTAAAGGAATTTATATAGAAAAACCTGCTCCTAGAAAGAATCTATCATCATAGATAATTGTCTTTTCAAGGGACCTAGTGTGGCAGACGAGGAAGAAACCTCAAAGTCTGTTCGTTAGACTTCCCTCTGTGTCCCATTGTTTCTGGGTGGCCCCACGAGAATTTGTTTACTAAATGTTTGCTCCTTCTCTACTTGTGAATTGCTTGCTTTCCCTTTGAACTCCAAACCACTATTCCCCTTTCTCCTTAGCTCAAGGTAGCTTCTAAGCCTCAACTGCCTGATTTGTCCTCAGGACCCATATTCTTATGAAGCTCTTGTATGCACACAAGTAATAAATTTGGTTATTTACTCTTGTTAATCTGTCTTATGTCAATTTGGTTATTAGACCAGCCAGAAGAATGTAGAAGGGTAAAAGGAAAATTATTTTTCCTCCCCTACATACGTATTACTGCCTTCCCTATAAGTATTTCCTTGATGAAACGACCTGATATTTTAAACTCATTTTCTCTCCTTGACAACAAGGAGGAGTTCACTTGGAATAGAGAAATATTTGCTGAGATATCTCCCTCCATTTATCATTCTAACCGCTGAGATGTACCAAATAGGTCAGGGCTCAAGTCAGTCAAAACGGGAAACTATTACTCACCAGATTGTGCCTGATGAGTTCTTTAGCAAATTCAAAGGAAGAAGAAGCGTTGTCCATCAAGCTTTTGAGTTCGGCCTAAAATTGAAAAAGGAAAGACTCATGAAAATGACAACTGTGTAGTTCTGACACCACATATTTGCACAATGCTTTATAGTTTACAAAGAATTTAACATGCTATTTCATTTATTCCTCAGGACTCTAAGAAATAGTCAATGTAATTATTATTATCTCATTTTACAGCTGAGAACATTGAGGCTTACAAAATTAAGTGACTTGAACCTTACAGCAAGTTTGAAATTGGTAAACCCAAGTCTGCCTTCTAGAGTTAGTCTTTTCTTTCAGGGCAAAAGGTAGTAAAGGAACTAAATTTTTAACAAATGAGGTTGATTCTTCAATCTGGCCATTCCACCTATATCCTGAATTTAAATAGTACTTCCAAAAAAAATTGCTGTTTATTTACATAACAATTAAATACCTTCTTCCCACTATTTTATTATTTATTAGACCTATCAGATCTCTTCTGTGTTTTCCTGCCCTCTTCACAGCCCTTAGAAAAAAAATTGGTCAGCCATTTCCAGTGTCTCCATTGGATTCACTTCCTCTTTTTTCTGCTATTCCTACCTTGCCAATCTATAATTTTGAGTAATCCTCCTCTCTTCCTTTTTCTACTTTAGCCAGTGAATAGCTAAGCTCTTCTGGATAAAACAACTAAATTCCTGATTGTTCTCACTGGCCACTACCAGATCGGATGGGAGTGCACGTCTACTCGGCAATCCTTACATTAAGCTCTTTTCTTGATCATAGCAATTCCAGAATGTTGGGTAATATTAGGCTAGATCAGCAGTTTTCAAGCTTTCAAATCTTAATCCTAAACATTATTAGGATCCCGAAGAGTTTTTGTTTATGTGGGTGTTAGTCATCAGTATTTATTGTTTTAGAATTTAAGTATTCAGTTAATCAGAAATGCTAAAAAAAAAAAAAAACTGGTATACATTTACATAACATGTTTTATTTAAGAAAACTGTATTTGCCAAAACAAAGATTTTGTGAGTGATACAGTTTTACATTTTTGCAAATCTCTTCAATGTCTGGCTTAACAGAGCACTGCTAGATTAGCATATCTGAAATAGCATTTGATCTATTTTGAAATCGTGTTGTCTCTGGAAAACTTAATTGCACACCTGAGAGCATGAAAGTGAAAAGATGAACTCTTTTACATTATGAGGATAGTTTTAATCTCAGACAGGGCTAGCTGGAAATAAGGGTATGGCAGGTGAGGTGCCCAGGGCACAGAATTTAAAGCAGCGTTCATTCATGTCTGTGCAGTGGTGCAAGTGCTCACCTTTCAATTTTGCACCCAGGGAGCTCGCTTGCTTCATACAAGTCCTAGTCCTGCCTCGCAGACCCCATGAAATGGAGTCCCAGATCACACTTTGACAGCCACTGGCCTAGTTTATTTAAATCAATTATCCTACTGAAAACAACTAAATAAAAAGTTATATTATTAAAACATTTTCTTAAGAATACCGAAGACAGTAAGGAATTCCCAGATCAAAAATGAAGGAGAAAAGACGCATGAAAGCCATTTTTGCCTTGAAGGCTTTAAAGAGTCTATAAAATTAAAATCTTTAATTGACAGTTTTGCCAGGCAACGAGGACAAAAAACAAAGCCTGGGACCTGCACAGGAAGTCTAGCAGGAGGCCCTCCCCACACTCAGCCAGGACTCCACAGAGCTCCACTGGCAAGGGAAGGATGGAATAGAAGTAGAACTAGCATATCCCTAGCGCAGAATCACACCCCAGCTAGGAGTCCGTGGGCAGTCCAGGCAATCTCAAGCCTTGAATGTGGTTTAAGGTGGTCGTAAACTGGTAGTTCTCCCAGGTATCTGGAAGAGCAAAGACCTATCACACAGGGAGGAAAGTGCCTTCACTGTAGGCCTTAAATTATTGCTATAAGTAATTTTTCAAATACTGTGTGGAACTCACGAAGATAAGCTGACATGCAAAGAAACTAGATTCCCCGAGGGAGAACCAGGAGCAACAAGAGAAAATAGAATCAAACCCACAAAAATTTCAGAAATTCAAATTATCAAACTCAGATCACAAAACAAGCAGGCTGACGAGTTTAAGAAAATAAAAGACAAGCATGAAAGCAGAAAATGGACACTGCAAAAAATGAAGATTTTTAAGAAAGAAAGAAAGAACTTTTAAAAATATAAAATATTGCAAATAAAATTAATCACTAACTAGATGGCCAGGTGTTATATATACGAGTCAAAAATGGCCACCGTATATTGGCCTCTAGGTTGTTTATTTTTTCACAGCAGCCTAAGACCAAATAGCTCAAAAGTTTTCTGGCACCAAACTCAAATTTTACACATCTAATTGTTTTAAACGTAGCTCACATAAGCAGATTTTTAGCCTTTAACATCCTGGCTGTTTTTTATACTCCACAAACTTCCCCCCAAATCTGCTAGCCACAGATAAGATAAACCCCAGGGCTATAAAGCGGTTGTTGCCTATCAGACCTCAAGCAGTCTCTGACCCAATACCTCCTACTCTGCTGCTGAGAGATAGCATCTAGCCACATAGCTCCTATCCAATTCCCCTTCTGCCTAAGAGTTATCTTGCCCTCCTCCCATTCTGGATGGTGGTCCCTGTGCCATAGCCTCTGGACAATCACATGCTGTGAGGGACTTCCCCCCAACAAAAACCCTTAGAAGAGTCACCCAAAAAAGTTTGTACATGTTGCTGTCACATGGTTATATCTTTGCCCTCGATCAGCCCTTCCTGAAATCCCTACACCAGGTTTTACAGCAGATTAGACATATCATAAAAAAGAATTAGTGAATGGGAAAATAGATGTGAAGAAATTCTCTAGAGTATAGCATGGAGAGTCAGAAGGAGGAAAATAAGAAGAGAGGGTAGGACTTAGATGGCACTGTAAAAAGATCTAACATACGCTTACTCAGTTTCTGAGTGAAATATGAGAAACAACGGGAAGAAGAGAAATCTGAAAGAAAATGATTGGGAACTTTCATTAACTGATTAGAATCATTAATCCACCAATTCAACAAGTCCCATAGTGAAACTGGAGAAAATAAAAGACAATGGGAAAATTTTTAAAGAAAAATTTTTTTAAAAGGATAGATTACCTTCAAATAAAGTTAGATAGTTGACTTCTCAACGTAAAAATGTGCCAACAAGGTATCCTACACCTAGTAAAAATACCTTATAATATAAAAAAGGCAAAATAAAGACATTTTCAGACAAACAAAAACAGAGTTTGTCACCAGACTTTACTAAAGGGATTCTGAAGGATAAACTTCACTTCATGCAATAGGAAAAAGATCCCAGATGGAAGGTTTGTTACAAACAAGAATAAAAAGGAAATAATACAATATTTAAATATGTTGATAACACTAAATAAATATAGACTACATTTAGCAGAAATAATTTAAAAAATATATACTAAAGTACACTGCAACAATGACATATGAGTTAGGAAGGTGGTAAATGAAGTTAAAATGTTGTAAATGAAGTTAAAATATTGTAAAGTCTTTGTACTGCTTAGGAGGAGAGTAAAGATGAACATTAAACTTGATTAAATGAAAGATATCTATAGTAATTTTTATGGTAACCACCACAAGTATGAAAACAGAGTGTATGACTTCTGAAACTAGCACAAGAAAAAAATAAAGATAAAAAATAGCCAATCAAAACTAATTCTCCATACCCAAAAATAGAACAAAATAGGAGAGAAAAAGAAACAGAAGATACAGTAACCAAATAAAAACACAAAATAAGATGGCAGATTTACACCTAAGCAACCAGTATTACAATATAACCAGTAATTAAATCTAATTCTATTAAATACTCTAAAAGACAAAATTTCAGACAAGATAAGCAAAATCAACTATATGTTTACAAGAAACACACTTAAAATATGAATTTGTAAAGAAAAGGGAAAAGAAGGTTAAAAAAAAAAAACTATATCCTAGGAATGCAAACTACAAGAAAAACTAAATTAAGAGCACACAAAATGTGCTTTAAGATAAAAAACATAATTAGAGGAGAGTCACTTTCTATTGATAAAAGGTTAAATTCACCAGAAAGATGTAACCACTTAAAATTTGTACCTTCCTAAAAAAAATGGCCTCAAAATATATAAAGTGAAATGTATCAGAAGAGAAAAATTCACAGTAAGAGATTTTAACACACTTTTCTCTGTAATTAACAGTAAGCAGATACAACAAAATTAGTACAGTGATAGAAGCTTTGATATATTATAAAAAACTAACTTAATGGACACATATGGAATCTACACCAAATACTTCAGAGTACACATTCCATTCAAGTACATAAGGAAAGCTTAGAAACACTGGCCACATATTGGAGCCATACAACAAGCTTCAAGAAATAAATACCAAAGGATTAAAATAATATAAGATATGTTCTCAGGCAACAATATAATCATGTTAGTAATTGTAACCAAAAGATAACTAGAAAATTTTCCATGTATTGGGAAATCAAGAATTCTTCTAATTAATTCAAAATAACATACTGGAAATTAGAAGTTATATTGTGTACTTAATCTTAGAATGTAGTTAAAGCTATACTTGGAAATTTATTACTTTAAATGAATATTTTAGAAAAGAAAGGCTGAAAATTAATAAGCTAAACATCCATTTCAATAATTTTTAAAGTACAGCAAACCCACTGAGAGAAAACAGTAGGAAGGAAATGACAAAAATAAGTATAGAAATTAATAAAGTAGAAAACAACTAAACGATAAAGAAGATTAATAAAAACAAAAGTTGGGTTTTTTTGAAAGACTAAAAAAGTTGTAAATGAAATGGTCAAACTTCTTGAAAAATACAACCCGCTAAAAATAATACAAGAAGAAATAGAAAACATGAGTAGTCCTACAAGTATTAAAGAAATTGAATTAGTAATTTCAAACCTCCCAAGCCTAGATGACTTCATCAATAAGTTCTAGCAAACATTTGAGAAATCCTGACAGTCTTATACAGGCATACCTCATTTTATTGTGCTTCGTTTTATTGTGCTTTACAGATACTGCATTTTTTTACAAATTAAATGTTTGTGTAACCCTGCATTAAGCATTAGCATTATTTTCCAACAGCATTTTCTCACTTTGTGTCTCTGTGTCACATTTTGGTAATTTTTGCAATACTTTACATTTTTTCATCATTATTATAATTGTTATGGTGATCTGTGATCAGTGATCTTTGATGTTACTTTTTTCATTGTTTTGGAGCACCACAAACCGTGTCTATATAAGATGGTGAACTTAATGGATAAGTGATGTGTGTGTTCTGACTGACCAGACATTCCCTTGACTCTCTCCCTCTCTTTGGGCCTGAGACATTGAAATTAGACCAATGGAAATTAGACCAACTAATAACCTTACGATGGCCTCTAAGTGTTAGAGTGAAAGGTAGAGTTGCATGTCTCTCGCTTTAAATCAAAAGCTAGAAATAATTAAGCTTAGCGAAGAAGACAAGTTGAAAGTCAAGATAGGCCAAAAGCTAAGCATCTAGTTAGCCAAGAAATTGCCACAGCCACCACCCTGATCAGTCAGCAGCCAACAACATCATGGGAAGACTGTCTACCAGCAAAAACATTATGACTTGCTGAAGGCTCACATAATGGTTAGCATTTTTTTTCAGCAATCAAGTATTCTTAAGTGAAGGTATATACATTGTCTTTTAGACATAATGTTACTGTACTCTTAATAGACTACAGTATAGTATAAACATAACTTTTACATGCACTGGAAAACCAAAAATTTTGTGTGACTTCCTTTATTGTGATATACGCTTTATTGCAGTGATCTAAAACTAAACCCATAATATTTCTGGGGTATATCTGTATAAACTTTTGAAGAAAATAGTAACATATGGTCTCTCTCCATTAGGTTAATGAGGCTAGTATAACCTCTGTACCAAGACCTGACAAGATCTGTATCAATAAAAAATGAAATTATAGATTAATCAAATTGATAAGTATTGATGCAAAAATCTTAAATGGAATATTAGCTAACTGCATCCTGTGAAAATTTGTTATAAAGCTGTAGTAGTTAAGGCAACATGGTATTGAGAACAGGAGCAGAAAAATGGATCAAAAGACTAGAACAGAGAACTTCAAAATCAGATGAAAAAGGGTTTGAGACTTGAATATGCCTCTTGTAAAATCTTGGGCAACTTATTTAAAGTACATTAAGAATTAAGTCCATCATTATATATTATTTCATGCTTACTATGGAAGAGCAGAATGCTGTTGGTGTTTGTGGAGAGAACGAGCCATATAATATAGAACCCATTATACAAGTTACTAGAAGAATGCCTTATTGTAGATGTTTTAATAAAGTTATCATAAGTAAACATAAACTACATCCTATTGCTACCAGCCAAAAAAGTTTCTTAGGATACACCTGACAGAGTCATCTATTGCTGGAGTACATTATAAAATCAATATGTAAACTGCACTGAAATGATTGTAAACGAAAAAGCATGCCTTTTTCATTGGGAAGTGCAGTTTGGTGACCTGACTTGGACAGCAAAAGCCCTACAGAATATTGGTTAACTGTGCTACTCATACCAGACTATGAAAAGAACACGTGCAGATAAAATGTTAACATTTAGTATATTGGACCTTATATCAAAATTGGCAAAGTCCCCAAGACTGACTCAAGGTAGAAAGGTAAGAATATATTTCTTTTATTTGTTCTTACTAATGAAGAAAACTCGAAAGAGATCAAATCGCAAACTCAGCTTACTATTAAACTGCTGATGCTGGAAACTGGCCAATTAGGGAGACTCAAGGGACTCCTTAGTTGAAATGAGTATACCCAAGAATGCATTTTATATAATATTTAAATGGATTGTCTGATTGTATACTAAGCAATTTAATTGATGGGCATTTCTTTTGCCACAACTGGCCACTTTTTCCGACATAAGCCATGAAAAGTGAATCTGGGCTTGTGTTAAGGACACGTGCTCTCTACCCACCTCTCTCCCTCCCATTACTAAACGCTGTTTTACTCAGGAGATGACTCTTCTGTCAGCATGAAGCATGTTCATAGTGCTTCTTGCTATTTCGTTTTCACAATAAATTTTACTTTGATATAGTTAATTTGCTGGCTTCAGCATGATGCCATCTGGAACTGTTTTTAGGGCAAAGGTGGGATTTAAAAATTTTAGCACGTGCAGAAATTTTACTTTTAAATTTTGGTGGCTTCTGACATTAACCAAAGTAATGGCTAAGGTAGTAATGTCCAAGCATGGCCCCCTCATAGGGTTAACCTAAAAATATATCTGTATAAAGTATATACATAAATATGCATATATACATATATTATATATATACCTGAAACTGTATATAGATGTAGTATAGAACATGCTGTCTATCTATGTATTTATATCTATATCTATATGTATGTATATATGCGTATGCATGTGTGTGTATATACATAAAATGTTAAATAAAAGGGGGTCCCCTATATGGCCTCCTGTACACTCTCAGTTTCTCATAAAAAGAGAGCTATAACAGAATTTATCCATGGGACAGTTAGGGAAACTAAATAATAAATATAAAGTGTTCTGCACAGTGCCTGTAACTACCTAATTTCTACATATTTATAAAATGTCTACCACTGTTGCTGTTTGAGGTAACCTTACAGGAGACACTGAGGTGTATCAGCAGAGAAAGACATTCCGGGAAATGGGAATGGGGTATGCAAAGCCGTGGTAGCAGGAGAGTATGGTGTATGGAACAAACTCAGTGGCTGGACTGGAGAGGACGAGACTAGTGTCGGGGAAAGCACTGAAATAAGAGACGAGGACTAGAACAGTGGCAAAAGAGAAAGGAGGGTGGATAACGGAGATATCGAGGACATAGAACTGATGGGAACTGGTGAATGGTTAGATGGGGGATGAAGAGAAGAGAGGTATGGATGTCCCAGGTTCTGATGTGAATTACATATTCCTGACACTGAACCACAGAGCCTCAAGCATATTTTAGAGGAAGAAGTGAAAATGTTTGGTATTTGAGTTACGTAAGGCTTCTAGGTAAAGATCATCTACAATATGTCGGGCACACACAGAGAATTCAGAAGTCAATATTCTTTTTAGATTATTTGATCAATGTAAATACTGAAATAATTAGGCTCTTATAGAGTCACGCTGGCAATAACAAAGGGATGTTGATCAAGAGTTAGAGATTATAGTCATGAAAACCTGGGAAATAGAGGGTAATTCAAATGAAATTAAGTTAAGTTGAAAACAAATTTCCATCACTACCTCGGCTGCTTTACCGTTGTAAAGGCGGAAATGATTACAGGCCTTAAGGTTGAGTGCGATGGTACTATCGGGGATTTGTTGGAGGTAAACAGCCAGAACTTCTTGAGACACATCATAGTAATCCAACTTGTAGTAACACAGGGCCACATAAACATTGAGGGCAAGGTACTCCCTGTTAGATGAAAGAATTAAAAGTTAACGGTTTAAGTCTACTTCAGAGAAATGTCAAACTACAAAGACTTTAATGGCTCAAATGAATAGCAAGGCAAAGAGAATATGAATTTTCCTTTTGAAGAAAGAAGGCAAGATATAATCAGTACAATATTTCTCTTTTGTATTCTCATGTTTGGGGAATTTTTATATAAGAACTGATGACAACGAGAGGACAAAAAGAAAAGTTCAATTCCTACCTGTTCATGTAGGAGTTGAAAACTAACATATGCTGTAATTGAGCATAAACACAAATAAACACATACCATACATAGAGGACAGACAGACAAGGCAAGTAGACTTGAAGACTGAAAATGGGAATGAGTGGGAGAATGTAAAGATAAAGCAAAAGAAGGAAGAAGGGACATGGATGAGATAATTTGGGGACATGGGACAGAGGCCAAGTGGTCTGTGATAAAGTTGGAATGTTAATTTTTCAGAATTGTTTCTCTCTAATTTTGTCAGTGAGTTACCCACAATGTAATTATTACACTGAAATTGATACATCTAGACTGTGCATCTTCAACAGGGGTATCACTCCGAAGGGGCAAAAATTGGTTCTTATAAGGAGGTGGGAAATTGTACTCATTTTATGTATGAAGACTACATACCCATATAGTACATAAACAGATATACAGTATATCTGTGGTATTAAAATTTCATGGGAGGGCGATCAGGAAAAACAAGAGTCTAAAAATGCTCCTTGGCAGGGTGTTAACGAAATAAAGGTGGATAAACCTTGGTCGAGACAATAAGGATGTATTAATCTCACTGGATTATCAGCTACACAGATTTGAACACATGGTGATTCTATATCCTAAGGACACCAGGTCCTCAGCCAAACAAGTTACAAAAGAAACTAATGGAATGAGATTTTGAGTAGGCGTAAAGGGACACAGACCTGTTATCTAGCAGTATTCGCTTATAAATATCAATAGCTTCTTGATAGTGAGAGCGCATATAGTGGATTGAAGCCAGACTGAGTTGATCTTCTGTGATATCCTGGAGATTCTGATGAAAGTTCATCAACTTCTTCTCATCATTAAACTAAAATTGTGAGGGAGAAAAAGACTTATAAAGATTCACATTACAGTACAGTCAGAGAAATCAATACCTTCAGCCGTTTAACTCTCTGTGCTCCCTACTTTCCTTTAGTTTCCTGTCTTCTCCTTTATTTCTCCTTCAGAGGAAGAATGGAAATAGCCTCCGGAGGCATTGCCTTGACAGTGAAAGCCTTTAAGTCACAGCTCATATTAATTACATGACCACCCACTTCCTCTTACATTCTTTTTCTTTTTTATGTCTTTCTTTATATTTTCTCCCTTTCCTTTTTTTTTCTATATCTCTTTATCTTTTTTCATATGCAGTTTATAAGAGAGACATTTAAGTTATAAGGACACAGAAAGGTAGAAAGTAAAAGGATATAAAGAGATAGGATAGGCAAATAGTAATCAAGAGAGCTGGTGTAGCTATACAAATGTGACAAAGTAGACATTGTGCCAAACAGAACTTTTACAGATAAAGAAAGACATTCATAACGAAACTTTTAATCCACTAGACTGACGGAACAAGAATTTCTAGTTAATTATTTTTCACCATTGTTGGTAATGAAAAAAAAGAAAAAGATATTTTAAAAACAAAAAGTGTGAAATAAGAATACCTTGTGAGCCAAGTGAAAGAGGAGGCGGTTTTGAAGTCGGCTTTTTGGAGCTGAAAAAAAAAAAAACTAAGCTGCTTATTACAGAACTCAATTGTCTATGGCACTTAGTCCCATGCAGGAATGACATGAGACTCAGATAAATCTTCCATAATCCTTATCTGCTCCTGATATGTCTCTGCTATATAATATATGTTATTCTAGTCTAGTCTGTACCTGCAGTAGCAGCAACAGTATCGAGAACCAGAAGAAAAACGTTCTCCCTGGTTCTATGACGGTGACTCAGACTACAGCAGTCCACACACACAACCCTTCGCTGTGTTGTTCACTAACCAAAGACTGAAAACAAATAGTTACGGTCATCTCGGCGCGTGAAGGAACCCACTCTCGGTCAGCTGTTCTTTCCAGTATTCCTTGTCAATTCCTTCTGAAATCTCGTTTTCCACAATTACACTGCTATATTTTCTAAAATTCTACCCAGCCCCTACTCCACAGATCTTCTAGCATGATAATCTGCCAAAATGAAACAGGTAGCCAAGCAAAAAGGTTAACACTTTTCAAGTTCGAAATCCCCTTTGCACTCTTGGAGAATTTTCCTAATTCTGGAAACCCAAACTTATATCTCTACGCAAAAAAGTCATATGTTAGTGTATAAAAAAGAAAAACATATATGGAAAGACAGATAGCTACCTTGATCACCTTCTATGTGTCTAACACTGTTCTAGGCACAGGTAAAGTCTAGAAACATGAGATAAAGTAACTTAAAGGCCCTTCTAACTAAATTAGGAAAAATTACATTAGTACATATGAAACAATTTGGGTACAAATCAAGAAAGGCTTCAAGTTCCACATTATGCATGACTTTGAGTATGAAGTCTTTATAAATGTGTATATGTCAGTTAATTCACTAAGAATTCTACCCTGGAATATACTCTTACCTAACAAATTTCCTAACAAACATTCTCTTACCTACATTCTCTATAGTCTTTTGAATTTAATTTGATTCATACTCTAATTATTCTTAATCTTTCTTCTCTTTGTCCTATATGTTTCCCTTTGTCCTACTCTCATTTGCCAATTTGAGTCCAGTTCTCCTAAGATGACTGTTATGACAAGTAAAGCAAAATGAAAGACATTGGAATTTTTCAAACTGAAATTACCTGGCTTCTCACTCAAAAGCAGGAAAAGCAGCCTTAAAATCCACATCCATCAGAGCCTGAATAAATATACCCAACTCCTACCAACATGGTGAATATCCTACTATGATGGGGCTTAAGAAAGAAAGACATCTTCCCCTTTTTCTTCTCTCCTTCTTCTGCCAGAAGCTATAGCTTCTGGGGAGGCAGGCTGGGGAGAGGGAGCAGCACAGGTATTTACTCCCTTTAAACATAAAGTTGTTCAAATCCAAGATTCTTGAGGAGCAAAGCTATTTTTTAGCTTTCTAATGTCAATTGGTTTTTGCTCAACAGAAAAAGTAACCAATTTTTAAATTTCTGAAATGACTCTTACTATTAGTGATGAGTACTAGATATTAAAAGGGCCCATTTTACCTTTAAATCCAGCAGCTTCGGCTTGTTTATACATTCCGAGAAAAAAGTAGGTACAGGCTAGGTTCACCCAGACTTCAGGATTGCAATTTTCCTCTTTTGTTGCATTTTCATATTCCTGAAATTTATGTTAAGCAGTGATCTCCTTTTGACAGTTAAGCAATCGACAGGCCATCTTTCTATAATGGAATAGGATTTCTTTTTTTTTAAGTTTTTAAATTCTATCTATCTATCTATCTATCTATTTTTAATGCCTACAGCACCTGGTATTCTTAGGTGGTCTCCCATCCAAGTACTAACCAGGCCCGACTCTGCTTAGCTTCCAAGATTAGGATTTCTTACTGAGACTGGGCGGCTTCACATTTAGGGAATCCTACATGAGTAACTCTTCTATACTTGTAAGATTAAACACTGGAGCTAAAGCTCAATCCTATCTATGCAAGGCCATTGTCCATATAATCTTACATGTATTTTTTTCTCCTTTAACACTTATATGGGCTAACCATGGAGAGGAAAAGTAACTAATATATTTTATTTTTGCTAACTTAAAAAGACATACAAAAGAGACCTGATTAAAAATGCATAGGTTCAGTGAATTTAAAATCTGATAACCTTAGTATACTACAAATTCCAATTCATTCTAATTGTTTTCTGGCTTTGTTTATTTGGCTTTATATTTTTAAAAGATATATTTTTTCTTTCCAAGGAGCCTTTCTGAGATTCACTGTCAGCTACACTTTCTGTATACTCTTAGTATTTATCAGTCTTTACCAGATGCCTTTGTTTCTTTTTCTTACTACATTTGGGTTACTCCCTTTCTCTTACATCTTCACAAATACTACCAGTCTCTATTCCATCCTTTTCACATCTTCCCTTTTCCTTCACTGATTTTTGTTGCTTTTGTTCTTGATCTTAACTCCTCATTACCTGATCTTGGATCTTAATTATGTAGGTTCTTTAAGTATCCTTAGATTACATTTTGGGAGTAAGAACATATGGGAAATGTTTAAAAAATTTCATTTATGAATTAAAAATTGCTTGACATAACACATCTATAATTTTATTTAGATCTATAATCCTACAGACTGTTCATTAGATAGGTAGCATTGACAATGACCAAGAAAAACAACTTCTAAAACTATACTTGCAAAAATATATATGTTTTACTATGCGCAAAAATAACCAAATAAAATAAAAAGGAACTTCTTTTAAGAAAAGACTCATGAAAATTTTTCTATCAAAATGGTATATTTTTCTTCCCCTGGAGACTTACTTAAGATATATAAATGTTAATACATTGTATAACCTCATTAGTTTATGTCTAAACGCAAAAAATAAACAAGAGATATATACATACTTGAACGTATATAGAAGATTTCTGAAGCAACACATCAAAAAATAGCTAATGGTTTATCCATTAACAAAGAAGTAGAACTGGGGATAGCATACGGGATGACTTTGTTTTCCTTTGTTCCCTTCTATGTTATTTTATCATGAGCATGTATTATTATAATACAAAGCTTCATAACATTTTCAAAGCCCTTCTGTTATGTATATATATATTTTTTTACTAACCTCCAAAGCTCTCTTGTAGTCTCCCAGGTGAAAAGCACAGTATCCAATCCATAAATTAGTATCTTCTTCTTGTTCCCCAACATGACGTTTGAACTTCAGGTTAAAATTTCATTAAAAAAAAAAATAATGAAAAACTTTTAAAAGTAAGCCCTCTGTTTTAAAAACATGCTACATTAAGTGACTGATGAATAATAAGAAATCGTAAGTAATAGAAACTAATAAATACCCAGTTTAATTAAATTTATATCTACAGAACTCAGCACAATTACTTTCTAACTGTCATAGAAATTAATATTTTCAAACATTTCATTTATTTTTCTCACCTCAGCCCAGAAAATATTTAAATGCGATCCTCATAACAATTCTGGATGATGTATAATGAACATGAGAAGTATGTGAAATATTTAGTTCCAAATAACTGAAGGTTAGAGAGATTAAGCAATAAACTCAAGGCCACACAGCCAGGAAGTGTGGTGGCAGGGACTTAACATAATATTTGACTCCAAAGCCCATGTTCTCACCCTCCATGCTCTGCTGCATTCACTCTCATGCTTCAAATCTGTCCTATTAGTACACACATGTATTTACTCATAGATTATAACCGTTCACTGAAGACAAGCCATTAAATCATTCTATGACCCTTGACCAAGCTAACCAGGACTTAGAAGAGTTAAGGATGTTCAGAATACTGGCATCATATATGTCCACTATGAATAAATATATATGAATTCATCACCCCACAAAAGAAAAGTCTTGTTTTGGAGGAAAGGATTGAAATTCTGAAGGTAAAGTCTGAACTACCATGATAAGGTGAGAGTTTTTCATTCCACAGAGTGATAAATCAAAAACATGGGTGAAAAATTAAATAGTGAAACACATTTACAAATATTGCTACAGAACTTTAGGTGCCATAGTTATTACAAGGTGAAGATATCCTTTGGTACCTTCTTGTTTGGGATAACAACTTACTCCTGTAGCTAACTCCATTATATCACAAGTCCTCCTCTCATCAAATGTTATGAACTTAAGTTCAGTGTCTTAAGTCTGAAAAAAAATCTTATTTGAGGTCTCCCTGAATTTGCCGCAGGAATTTAGGAGAGCTCATGAGACTTCCTCATCCCAAACAATGGAAGTTCTCATTTCCACACATCATGGCACTTCTACTGGCTACTTAAAGGCAGTGAGAAATTACACAATAAGGAAAATGTGGTCATTGCCTTAAAGGAAAGAGAGAAGAAAAACAGAGACTGAAAAAATGTAGACATATACCTACCACTCAGTCCACTCACTGATTTACCGAGCTAGATGGTCCTTCTATGTTAACTCCCCACTTTAAAGATGAGAAGGCTGATACAAAAAGTTAAACAATGTGCTCAGTACCGGCGCACTAGGAAGAAGTGTAGGACTATCCGTGGAAGACTAAGAAAGATATATAAAGCTACTTAAAATAGTTATTGCTGATAGATTATCAGTAATATGTCTGGAATAGTGCCCTGGAGAAATGACTGTGGCATAACGTAACCAAGCTTGCTGTCAAACATTATCTCTTCATTCTTTGGTCACCCCTTCATTCTCCTACAGCATGTGCTTCTCACAAAGCACTTTCTCAAAGTGCAGTGTCCTTGAACCATCTACACCAGAAACACTTAGGGTACTTGCCTAAAATGCAGGTTCCTAAGTATCGCTGAAGACTTATCCTGTAAATAATCAGAATCCCTAAGGCAGAAGCCCAGGAATATACATTTTAATAAGCACTGCAGGTAATTCTGATGGATATTAAAAGTTGAGTACTACTGCCACATAGGTCGAAATATTTTCTGAAGATATACTATTTTATACAATAAGCATGAAGCATAGTAGATTTAAGTTTGATCAAACTTTTATAATACATAATAGGTATAAATCATAAATTGGTCAGGGGTTGGGATAAATAATGTGTGAACTGTTGCTGCATTAAATGACCCTCCATATTTTTAGGTTGGATTCACCATCAGAGGGACTAGACATAATTTAAAATGTCCCTCAATAAATAAATCTATCTTTTTTAGTTCATCTTTAATCAGATTTACAGTTAAGTCTGGAACCTGTAATCTGTGCCTGGCTAGATTTACAGGAAGCCTCAGAATGCACCCTCCTGTTCCAACAGCAGAGCAACCAGCATTCACCCAAACATTCGTCTATATTCTAGTATTCACCTCCTAAGAAGCAACCTTCTTTGGACATTGGACATTACCTCCAATAGGGTAATAGCTCCAGTGAAATCTCTTTGTGAAAGTAGCTCCTCGAGTTTTGGAATCTTCCTACCTTTCTTCTTTCTTTTGTCAGTGTGCGGTAGGTCTCCGCCTACAGCAGGTTTGGCCCTTGAAAGCATCTGTGAAAGAAACAACAGACATCTGTATGAACCAATTCAGATGGTCAGTTTTAAACGATGAGTGACAACTCCGCGATTTATAAGTCAAATCCTTAAAAACGAACCCCAGGAAAGCCTATTCGAACTCTTTTAGTAACACGTATTTTACTAAAAGGGCACTTTTACTGGCTACTTAGAGTACTTAAGCAGGTTCCACCCTGTACTTAAGCTGAACCAAATAGCTACTCTCAACTTCTTTGTCTTCTCCAATTAGAGGGAGGTAAGAGATGCTTTCGTGCAGCTTCGGTCATCTCATCTTTCCCTTGGTCTGCTTTTCATCCCACGCACAACTCGGGTGTGGGGAAATCGAGAAGCAGGAGGGAAGAAAGCTTCAAAGTATTTACAGCTGCATCCCTGTCCCCTGTGGGAAGACGGGGAGGACAGGGAGATAGATCATCCTCCGCTGACACTCCTAGATTTTACCCAGAAGTGTACTGGGAACCTCTAATCTCCAGTCCAGGACTTATTCAAAATTCTCCCTCACTGTTCAGAGCCACTAACCATCTTGGCGTCGGTCCTGTGAGCCCCCTCCGCAGACAGACAGTAAGGGCCTGGCCTCAGCGCTCCTCCGCATCTACAGCTCGCTCCGTCTCCACGGCAACCCCGCGGGGGGCGGAGTGGGGAGCCTGGTCCGTTCCAGAGAAGCGCTCGTGGGAGAACCGGTGCCTTCTGCTCTTTGGTTCCACTCCGCTGCCGCCGCTTCACGAGTGGAAGTTCCTCTCTTGAGAACGTAGTTTTCTGTGCTGAGAGCGAGAGTTTGACTGTATCTCTGTTTATGAGTTTACTTTAGGAAAAAGCGAATTCGAATGGCATTATTTTCAAATATGGTTTCTTGGGAAAGTAATTTTCAAGGACTACTTCCGATTTGGACCGCGTTGGGCTCCATAGCAACCCCCGGGGCTGACTGACACATGATCTACTTCTACTGCGGGTGCCGGAAGGTTAGAAAAAA